AGGGAGGGAGGGAGAGAAGGAAGAAGGAAAGATGAATAAATGGGAGGATAAATGGGTGGGTGCATGGATGGATGGATAGATGATAGATGGATGGGTGGAAGGAAAGATGGTCGCAGGGTCATTCCTATTGGTGGACAAACCTCAAGATGGGCTCCAACTCTCCTGAATCCCCACAAATCCTCTGAGCCAGTTCTCAAAACTTTGTTGGCATCTCTTCATTCAGGTCCACTGTAAGTGTCATCTTGGAGTCATTCCCCAGAACAAAGGAGGCCCAATCTGGACAGTGGGAGAAGAACCCAGAACCGAAAGGTGGGCTCCCAGTTTCCCATCACAACTCTACCCCTGTGTGGCCTTGGGCCACCCAGGCCCCTCTCTGGTGTCAGTTTCCCCATCCGCACTATAAGCATTTGGTGTAGCTTTGTTCTGAGGTCTGTCCTGAGGTGTGACCACGGCTGATATGCAGCCAGTAGGGACCCGTCCAGGGCAGGACTGGGGCCCACTCATCCTTGCTTCCTGGAATGCTAGCTCCTTTTCTCCTGGGAAAACTCCTGCTCATGTTTCAAAATTCAGCTCAGACATCACTTCTGAGAAGTGTCCCAAAGTCAGAGAAACAGAGACAGACAGACAGAGTCTCAGAGAGACAGAGTGAAACACAGAAGTATTTAGAAAGAGAGAGGAGAGGAGGGCAAGGGGACACACAGAGCTTGAGGTAGAAACAGAGAAAGGCAGGACAAGACACAGAGGTTGTCCAGGCCAACCAGGTAAGCCTGGATGCAAATCTACAATGACTAGGCTCCAACTCCCCTTACCTCCCAGGGGCCCCTTCCTGGGACTGGAGAGGGCACCAGAAGCAGAGGCCAAGGTGGCCAGGCCCCTGTATGACTGGGGAACAGACTAGCCAGGAGGTGCTGACACAGAGGAGTAGTTTATTGAAAGCTCAGGACTGGCCACTGAGGCCCCAGAGCTCTCCAAAGCAAGTCTTGTGGCTAGCCATGCAGTCCCCAGACTGGGGCAAAGCTGCAGGGCCAGGGCACCTGAGCAGGTCTAGATGGATAAAAGACACTTATGCTGTCACCGACACAAGCTAGAGACTGGGAAGGAAACTGAGGCAGAGTAGACAGGTGAACAGGACTCTGGCAGTCAGCAGGGAGGGGTGGTGGCCATTTCTCATCCTTAGGATGCCACAGTCAGCACAACAGCATTCTGCAAGGAGCGACAGTTCTTGGTTAGGCCCTCTGAGTTCTTGTAACCAACACCTCTGCCACACTCTCATCCCTGCAGCCATCTCTGTGTCCCCTCTACCTACCAGTGCCCTCAGGTTAGCACTGTACCTGAAACACAGCAGGTACTCACTAAACGAATGAATGAACAAATGAATGAATGATGAATAAATGATATTCAGTGTGGGAGAGGTTACTGACTTTAGGATTTAAGTTAAGAAACTCAAGTTCAAGTGCCGTTTCTCCTGTTAGTTTACTGTGTGATCTTGGGGAAGAAATTTGACCTCCTTCACCCTTGGTCCTCATTTGAAAAATGGGTCCAAACTCCCTGCTCTGCCCATGTCCCAGAGCTGTTCCGAGACTCAAAGTTGTGCTGGATTGAAAAGGATTGTGAGGCCATGTC